AAACTGGTAAAACAAGGTCTTCTGAAACCAATTGAGTTAAAGCATCTTCATCATTATTTTGTAGCAATTGAGAAATTAATGCCTCTGATTTACCAGGTGCAATAGCTTCAGCAAATATCTTCTCATGCTGCATTTAAAATTTTTCAAATTTCTTCTTAACTTTCTGTTTAGTTTCTGGGGTTAAGTGTTCTATTCGCTTTTGCTTTATCTGAAAGGACAGTGGACTTGCTCCAAATGCTTCACACAAAGAGATAGCTGCTTTTTTTGATCCTTTAATAGTTTCATCTGAAATGATTGTTATATCTGGAACATATATGTCATCAGCAGAAAAGCTAGACTTTATTGGTGTTGGAACTGGTTCTAACATGTCAACATTGTTATCTGTAGAAATAATTTTTTGGTGGCTGAAGCAAAATACGGCTCCAACAGGAAGTGGTGAATTCTTTTTTATTATAAGCAAGAAAAGGTTTTCAAAGGGACGGATCTAATTTTCATAGCATAAGAGTCGTAGAATGAAAAATAGTCTTGTAATTGGCTTTCAATCAGGTTTTTTTCATTCCACTGGTTTGTCGGTGGTAGCTTTAAAATAGTAATGTCAGATTTTTAATCTATAAATTAAGAAATTTTGTTTCTTTTAATAAAAAAGCAAATAATATTATTATATTATTCATACCTTTAAAACTTGTAAATGATTAGTTATGTCAGCAGTCAACTCATTAACTTGAAAGTTTCCATATTTGTTCTAACGCTTAAAAGGACCAAAAGAGGTTTTCTCTTTATCAAAACATATCCATTTCTCATAAGAACTAACTTTTTTCTTGCTCTCTGGCATAATTTGTTTATTAATAATTATTTATTGACTAAAATTAAACAAATGCAGTTTTTACTTACAAATTTCAATTCTTCTACTGAAAACTGCATCAGTAAATAATTTGTCATCAAAGTAATACACAGTGGGCCAGTAGGTGGATAAAATGAGAAAAAATTTAATTATCTAATCTGGAAAGCTTATTTAATTTTAGTATCTACATATAATAGGAGAAATTTATTGATAATTTATTTATATTAAATCCCTTGTTACCAGGAATCTAAGCATTTGAATATTGAAATTAAAAAAAATTTTAATAAGTAATTTACGTTAACGTTGTGTTATATTTCAATTACATCTACGTTTTTAAAACAAATAATTAGAACATGTTATTCTAGAGTATTTAGAGATAAGAAAAACCTATGTGTGAAATAAATATGTCATAGCATGTTATCTCAGTTATACTTTGAAAATCACAGATTAAAAAAAAAAATCTTTAAGAAATTTATTTTTTGCCGCAATATAACTAATAATTACTATAATTTGCCATGTGCTGTTTTATATCTATTTGAGCTATATGATGCTTCAATCAATTTTTAATTGATAGCTTGTCTCCTTAAATCTCCGTTCAGATTTTATATATGTTTTAACTTGGTTGTTATGGTACTGAGTTTTGCATAGCAACAGCTCATTTTTACATTAACGTTGTTTTATCAGTATTTTATCTGCGCTAAGTACACAATATTGGGAGTATGTATTAAAATAAGATTTACAATTCTTATCAGGTCAATTTTTTTGGTTGCTATGGCTACCTTACTTTGCATAGTATATAAACAACATATTTTCGGTAGCTGTTAGTTATTTTGTATTCTGGCTGAAAAAGAGATTTTCCAAAAACTTGTAAATTATTATAGTCTAACTAACCAGGCCTCAGAAGTAAGTTTAGTAATAAAGTAGTTTTTCCCCAACCTGATTTTTGCGTAGTTTCCAGTTACTTATGCAAAACTACTTACAGATTTTAAATGTCTTTCACAAATAACTTCAGTTTTAGTAAAAAATCTAAAAATACAAGAGTTTATACTTTAGCAAAAAATTATGTTAATCAAAAATGTAATGTTGTAGGATGTTTAAAAATAGAAGGAATATTTATTGGTGCAATGATAGAATCAATCCTAGTTAAATTGCAAGAAACAGTTATTCAAAAAAAGATTTCAAATTTCAAGTCAAGTTTTAAAAGTATTATGGACGATTTAGATTTAGGAAATGAATCTGATAATGAAACTGAAGAATATTAAAATGATATAAAAAAAATCTTTATATATAAAAATGGCTGTTTCAGTACATAAATTTATTAATAATACTAAAAATGTCAAACTTCTAGTAATTTTTAAGTTACATGAATATTTAATACATCCTTCAGTATTTAAGAATGGAAGATGTGAAATATTTGCGCAGCAGGATTTTGTAATAAAATCAAGATCACAGCAACTTATTGCTCTAAAGTGTGGAGTAGCAATTAGAAAAGTTATGCATTAGTTCCATTAAAAGAAAACCTTAAACCTAAATTTACTAAATTCTGTAACAGCAGAGTCTGTTGATGATAATATAGTAAGTATATTCAACAATGATATGACAGATGTAAAAATTAATAAAGGAAAAAGTTTTTGCTTTGTTTTATGTTTTATAAGTCCTTCACATAAAAGTGCTGGATATATAACTTTTACAGAGAGTTCACATGCAAGTAATTCATCTAAGAGTACTTCATCTAAGAGTACTGATTTATTAAAACGTTAGAAACTAATTTCTTTATAAAAAGATGAAATATAAAAATATGGAATACAAAAATATTTATCCAAATTTTCCAACTGCACCAGAAGGCTCGAGTTTCCAAGATCAAGGTCATGAATATCGCTTACAAAAGATAAGTGAGATTCAACAAGAGATAGAGTGTGAGAGAGAAAAGAGAACAGTGTTAAGTAAGAAGTATCATAAAGCTGTAAGAATAATTTCAGCAATTAATAATGCATTAATATCAAGCACTATAGCAATTGGAGCTGTCGTAGTCGGTTTTTTAGCAACTATAGTTGCAGCTTCAGTAGCCATTGCATGTAATGGTGTAGCATTGGGGCAGGTCTATTATCAATGATAGGTGGACAAGTTAATAAAAAAATTTAATTTAAAAGCAGAAAAACATATAAAGATTAAAGTGTTGGCTGATTCAAAAATAAATACAATAAGTGAATATATTTCCAAAGCTTTAGTAGATAGAAATATAAATGAACAAGAGTATGAAATGATACTTAGAGAACTTGAAAAATTTTAAGTCATGCTTGAACTAAGACATCATTAATTAACCAAGGAAGATAAGAAGCTATTAAAACATTCCAAAATATGTTTAATAAGAATCAAAACACGATTAACAAAGCTAAATACGTTAAGTGAAGGAGACTTAGTGACCTCGTTCAACTATGAACGTTTAACTATGAACGTAACTATGAACGTTCAACTATGAGCGTAAGCACGTTCAACTATGAACGTAAGCACGTTCAACTATGAACGTAAGCACGTTCGACTATGAATGTAAGCACGTTCAACTAAAAACGTAAGCACGTTCAACTATGAACGTAAAAACATGTTTTTTTTAAAATTACTAATACTAATTTTAAAAAATTTTGCATGTTGTTTATAAAAATTACAGATCCTAAAAAGAGAGATCAAACAGTAAATGAATTTCTAAATTTAAAGAAAAAAGTATATCAAGATTCTTTAGATGATAAGATAGGTGAATCTAGTTTACAGACAGACTTGACAAAATTGTATAAACCGTTACTAGATAGTCAAACTGGTATAAAAGAAAACTTAACAAAGTTAAATGATCAAGCTAATAATTTAGCACTCACTTTTACAAATGCTAATCCTGAACTTCTGATGATAAAATGAATATATTAAAGTTAGGTAAAATTGAATCAGATTATCTAAATTTGTACATTACTACATTTGGAATACATTCTAAAAGGAATGAGTTATACATAGGTAAAAAAACCAATATTAATTAACGATGATAATATAACTATTGATGGTATAACATAAATTGGAACTCCACGTCTTTGGGAATTGATAAAAAGGTTTAATCCTGATGAAGAAATGTACAGTAATGATGATCTTGAACATTATAAAGAAATATTAATACAAACAGATGCAATTGCTAGTGAATCAAATCCAAGTAAACCTAGATCTTCTAAGGGTAAAAAATACAAAGAGATATTAGCTCCAGTTTGGAAAGAGATGAAGAAAACTAATGTAACACCATGGCAAAACGTAAAGAAACTTTTTACACCACCATTAAAAGGGTTAAAAAGAAAAGGCTTACCATCAAAAGGAATAGCACCTATAATTCTTCGTAGCGATCCTAATGAACTACTTGAAATGCTTACATTACATATAGCTGCATGGAAAGCAGGTTATACTAAAGCAAGAAATGAAGCTGTTGCAATTTGTGATAAATTATTACGTCAGAACTTGATAAACGAGAAAGAGTATAAATCAATACAGAATAATTTAAGAATAAACTAAAGATTTATGAATCTCAAAAAGATTTAAAAAAAATATATAGTAAATAAAATGTTTATTGTACAGAACAAGATATATATATGAAAAAACATGTTATTTGTGAAATATTTAACACTTTTAAGACTGTTAGAAATTTAATTAGAGCAGCAGCTGCATCAAAATTATCAAAAAATTTGTTAGCTTTTATGATTATAGCAGCTGCTAGTGAATTGGTAAAACTGCTGGAAAGTCAGCAGGAAAAGAACTTGCTACATCTGCAATTAATACTGCTAAAGATGTAGCAGTAGACAAAGAAAAACAATTAATTCCAAAAGCATCTAATAGTGTAAGTACGAATACGGTATTAAATAAAGATCTTTCACCTAAAAGTAAAGAAATTTCAAATTTGGTTAAATCTGGATCTGATGAACCGACATTAAATTTAAATAAATTATTGTTTGGAGCAGCTATAAAACCTAGAAAATAAAAAAATGAGGTAATTAGAATTGAATATTTAGTTAAAATAAGTACGTGGACTTAAATTAGCGTAAGAGCGTGAATGAGATATTTATAGATTTTTTTTTTATAAATATTATTACAAGTAAAATGATTTAAAAAAATTACCTTGTATATAAAAAATAAAATGGCAACTTCAGATGTATTAAATTTTACAGCTAATGGTTCAAATTTAAACGACACTGGAGAAATAAGAATCATCATTAAACAGCAATATCTGTTTGCACTCCCATCTGAGGCTTTTCTTTTGTTTAAAGGAAGACTTCTTAAAGCTGATGGAACAGCTTATGCTAATGCGGATGCAGTTTCACTTACAAGCAATGGTCTTATGTACTTATTTAGTCAAATAACATATCAATTAATGTGGAAACAGTTTTTTATCCTGGTCAAGCAACTACAATGTTAGGAATGCTTAAATATCCCAACGACTTTCAATTAGTACAAGGATTAAATCAATTGTGGACTAAAGATTCTGGAGCGACAGCAGTACTTGCTGATAACCAAGGATTTGTAATAAGACAATTATACTTAATTTAGAAACCAGATGCAAAAGGAACATTTTTATTTTGTGTTCCTATTAGATACATTTTTGGATTCTGTGATGATTACAATAAAGTTATTTATAGATTTGAGCATACACTAACTCTTGTTAGAAAAAGTGATAACGATGCCGTTTTTAGAAATGCAGCTGCAGCTGCAGGAAAAGTTAATTTTGATAAAATATCATTGTTTATGCCGCATGTTAGACGAGCATTAATGGAAAAAAAGAATCTTTTAGATGCTATTGCATCAAAAGTAACAGTTCCAAAATCTTTTAGAACAAGACATTGTGAAACTTTAGCTATTTCACAAGCTATTGATTTTACTTGATTTTACGAGATTAAGTGTAAAGACATCTAGTGAAAAAGCAAGATATATAATTGTTGGATTTCAAACAAAGAGTGGAAACCAAGAAACTAATCCTTCAATATTTGATCATTGTGACTTGAAAAATATGCAAATTTATCTTAATGAAGAAAATGTATATTCTGCTGTTCCTTATAATTTATCATTCCGAAATCAGCATTTTTCAAGAGCTTATAGAGAAGCAACAACATATAGTGAAAAATTTTATGGATTAAATGAAATGATCACAAAAAGTAACATAGCTCCTTCTGACTATAAAGATTTATACCCACTTATGGTTTTTGATGTTAGCAAGCAATCGGGAAGATATAAATTAACAGTAATAGATGTACAAATAAGAGCCACATTTAATCAAATCGTTCCAGCAGGTACTCAAGTATATGCTGTTGTAATATCTGTTGTAATATCTAATGTTACAATTTCAAGTAGACATAGAATGAATATTGTATATTAAATCGGTTGACATCGATCCAGATTTTAGAATTAATTAAACTGTAATAAGAAAAAAAATAGAAAAAAAACAAGAAAATAAATTTAATTGAAATGATTTAAATAAATTTCTTGATATAATAAAAAAAGAATGAAAAACGTATTGCAAAACGAAGGTAATAATTCTAGATGTGAATTAATGAAAGATAATAAGAGAAGGACAATCTTGTTTCATTAGTTATGATTGGATAATTTTGATAAAGAGTCTGCATTATCAGATGTTCATACTAAAAGATCAGTTGGAAGACCTAGAATACATCCAGCAAAAGTAAGAGTTAAAAGAGTTTAAAAGGAAAAAGTAGAAAAAGTTAAAAAGCCAGTTGGAAGACCAAGGATTTATCCAATAAAATAAAAAAAAGAATATATAGATCCAAAATACGAAAGATTTCCAGTATCTATTATTGAAATACAATATTGAAACAGGAGAAGTTACAATATATAAACCATTATATAACTAACGGGTGGTTACTAAAAATCCGGACAAACTTTAACTGAATTTTAAATGCCACAAGCTAAATCTTTTTTATTCATGTTTATATCCATTTTATAACTTATTTAATTCTCTATAAGTTAATTTTTTTTTTTTAGATAATTAATAATAATTAAAAAAATAATGATGACCAAGCAAGAAGAGGTAAGAAAACGGATTTACGAGTTCTATTTGAATAATGAATTGCAAGGTAAAAAGTTCACAGTAGCTCACTTCAGTGCTGAAAAAATCCCAAGAAGCACTATCTATGATATAATCAAACGTGTTGAGAATGATTCTGGGCACAAAAGAGTGCAAGGAAGTGGTTGTGTGGCCAAAATAATGACCCCTAAGAGGATCAAGCGCCTGAAAGCCATATTTGATCACAGTGACCGAGTTTCGATGAGGCAAGCTGGCCAAAAATTTGGATGCAGTCATTCACATATCATTAAAACTCTTGCCAAGTACACTGACATCAAAAGTTATACAAAACAGGGTATACCTTATCGACAAGAGAACCAGAATGAGCGAATCAAAACTGGCATTGATCGTCTTTATCGCGTTTTTAAAGGAAAATTGGTCATCCTTGACGATGAGTCTTACTTCACGCTGTCACACTCAACAATTAATGGAAACAGCACCTACTACTCTAGCAACAGAGACAAGACTCCACTAAGTGTTAAATATCGCAAAAAGCGCAAGTTCGAACCCAATGTGCTTGTCTGGCTGGCCGCTTCTGACAAAGGTGTTTCAAAACCATTTTTTATACCCAGCGGCCTTGCAGTCAATAAAGCCATCTATGAAATGAATTGTATTAGGAAAAGATTAGTGCCGTTCATCAACGCTTATCATGCCGATGGTAATTACATATTTTGGCCGGACCTGGCTTAATCGCATTATGCCAAAACCGTGGCCAGCTGCTACGAGACTCATAATTAGGGATGTACCGAAGCTTCGGCTTCGGCTTCGGCATGCCGAAGCTTCGGCAATTTTGCCGAAGCTTCGGTTCGGCCGAAGCCAGGTCAATTTTTTGCCGAATCTTTGGCTTCGGCAAAAAATTTTAAGTAATTAAAGTTATAAGCTACTGTTGTACAAGTTATAATAATATGCTAATTGCCAGTGTCTAATTAAGTTGTAAATTTAGGACTACAGAGTTAAAGTTGGAGTCTATATCATATATTTAGTTTTATTTACTCCCAAATGTCTTGTTATGGAGGGGATGATAATAAATAAGTAGAAATATTTTGAATATAATAGTAAAATTAAGGAAGGTCCTCATACACTTTGAAGGCTTCCAAGTGTGACTTTAGATGAACTGAATCAGCATTTTTATGCAGAATAAAAACCTTATAATTTAAAACAAATTAAAATTTTTTAAAAATAAAATGGAAAAAAAACCTTAATTTGTATTATGTAACGAATTTATATTAATTTTTGTGTGGGATTACCGCAAATAGAACAAAAATTGGTTTCAACATTTGACCTATAAACCTTAGTAATCTCACTTTAAAGAAGATTAAAGATACGTTGCTACTATTTTAAATTCTGTGTATGTTTAATTTTTTAAAATTTTATTTAACCATAATAATAAAAATTTACAAATTTTCATCGTAAGATTACAGAAATTGGTTAGGTGTCACTTATAAAGTTACAAACTAGTCAATGGAGTGACACATAAAAAACATAAAGTTCTCAACAACAAAAAAGGAAGAAAAGCAAATGAAATATAAATGAGGAGAATAAAAAAAGAAAAAAAAAGTCAACCAAAACTATATAAATTAAAAGAAAAAGAAAAACAATGATAATAATTATCCTTGCTCTTTTATTAATATTATGAATACTTCTAAATTGAATTTATATATTAAATATATAAACTTATATTCTGGTTTCTTCTTATGATATGAAGACTTTTAAATTTTATTTAAAATAAATTAAAGGTTAAAGCTTTGATTACTTTGAGCTCTTATATTTATCATCAAAATTTATTTAAATTAAATAAACAATTTAAATCAAATAAATATCAGCCTGCTCAGTCCCTGTTTATTTATAAATATAAAATAAATAATAATATAATTATAAATGAAAAATTTATAAAGTATTCTATTTATTGTTTTATTTAAAGCTCACTCTACTGAGTTGTTAGATTACTATAGAAGTAACAGATAGTTAATATTTGATTTCAGATACTGATGCAGATTTATCCATTACAGAGACAGAAGAAGAATGAATACTATAATTTCAGAGTGTAAAAGATTAATAGAAGCTTAAGAAAATGTTATGTAGTGTAAAATTAAAAATAATAATAAAAAAAAACAAAACAACTTAAAAGTGTGTAAAAAAGAAGTTAGAGAGAAATCTATCAATTGTACTTTTTTTTAGCAGCAGGTTCACAACAGTTGTAGTGGAATACAAAATGGTCTTAACTTGGGGTTTTTTTTAGTTTAGAAATTGTTCGTTTAATGAATACAGAGAAGCAAAAAAAAGATATTGAAATAAATAGCAATAAAAAGATAAAGTGTGTTTGTAAGATTTTTTATGTTGTAGATACAACTAGATCAGCTAAGAGTGTTTATTTAGAGAAAGAGTGTTCAAGTGTAAAAGATTAATTTACTTGAGTAATATTTAGAGATTTTTATCCACTCTTAACAAAAGGTGCATTAAAAATAAAAATAAAATATACAGCACATGAAAAGATGCGTAACAGTAATTTATGAGGATGTTCAGCTAGCACACGATAATTAGATAGAGCAAACAAGATGATTAAATAGAGGATTAAAAATTAGATGATTAGATAGAGGATTAAAGAGAAACGATGTTTACATAGAAAAACAGTATGGCTATAAAAAACCAAAAAAATAGCAATAATCTTAGAAGAATATTGGGAATAGTTGGAAATATATGTGAGTTACTGATATTGTGCGCTATATAACAGTAATATGGTTTGCACACAGAAAAAGTAGAACTAGAAGTAGGAAAATTTGGGGAGAATGTTTCAAAAAAGCTCAAGTCTTAAAAGAAAACACTAGGTGCGGTGAAGTATCAGAAACGACATAATGAGAAACTTTCAAACAGGGGCGCTGAGAGCTTTTGCCCTGCCTGGGGCAGCAACCCTGACTTGTGTCCTCATTTTTATACATTTTCTCTATATTATTAGTCAAAGATCTTAGTTTTGGAACCTTTTTTTGTTTTACACCCCTGCTAATCTGAATGCTGATTAAATTTTAAGCATATAAAGCATATATATATAGGCTTCGGCAAAGTGGCTTCGGCCGAAGCTTCGGCTTCGGCAAAATTTTAGCTTCGGTACATCCCTACTAACAATTAATATTCAAAAAACGTTGCCACAACGTTCATTTAGGTTCGCATAACGTTCGCTGCAAACATTATGTGAACCAACTTTTGTGAACTCCAATTTACAGTTCTTGAACGTTCAAATAACATTAAAAAAGTTTGTAAACATCATCAACAGCTACAACAGATTACTTACAACAACATGCCGTGGCGCAATGGTTAAAGACTGTGGCGCAGTAGTAAGAGTTTTGGCTCAGAACCCAGAGGTTCGAGGTTCAACACCAGTCCAATAAGCTACATTGATAAAAAAAGAGCCGTTTTCAAACAACTTGCTGTGTTTAATATATAAATTTACAAAAATTAAAAATTTTAAAACTTTTTAAGAAGGTAGGGGGGTGCCATTGCACCCATCGCCCCCCCCCCCCAACCTCCCCTATGGATCCGCCTTGAAAGGAGTTAACTTTTTTCGGCCAAAGGGCATAATCTTGCATTTCTTTTCATTTAGCTCCATGAGCCAAGACTTAGTCCAATGAACAACTTGGTCAATATCTGATTGGAGTTGAAGTTGAGCAACAAGTGAGTTGACAATGCTCAGAATTTTAGTCTCATGAGCGTAGATCTTACAAATATTTTCTTTGCTTATTACATTTAGCAGATCATTGATAAAAATAACAAATAAAATTAGACCCAAGACTGATCCTTGCAGAACTCCACTTGTCACAGGTAACCAATTTGAATGAGTGTCACCAAGGATGATTCGTTGATACCTGTTAAGTAGAAAAGCTTTTATCCAATTGATAATATTACCTTCAATTCCGTACATTTTTAGTTTGTAAAGCATTCGTTGAGGTGGCACTTTGTCAAATGCTTTGGCAAAATCCAAGAAGACGTCAATTGGTAGTTTTCTGGCCAAATTTCCAGTTAAGTAATCCATTGTTTCAAGGAGATTTGTAATGCATGCTTTTTTCTCTAAAAAACCATGTTGACTATTTGATAGAAGAGTGTTTGATTTTAGATGCTGCATGATTGCCTTCTTTACTAGTCTCTCCATTATTTTACATGGAGTCGAGGTAAGAGATATTAGTCTGTAGTTAGATGGGTCGATTCTGGAACCCTTCTTAAATAAAGGTGTTACATTTACTTTGGACCATGAGTTTGGAATTTCACCATTGTCAAATGACTTTTCAAAAATGAGAGTAAGTGGA